GTACCGCATCAGCTTCCCAGACGGACCTGTAGCTAAAGACTGGGCTCTGGACAAACTGAGGGCACTTCGATGGGCGGTCTCAGAGGTAATTTGTCAGAATATATATGGCTGCTTTAACAACAAATAAAGCAAATTATGTATGTTGATGGTGAAATACATGATGAAGTGAATTAGAGAGCATTCAATTTTAGTTTGAATTAGGCACAAAATATTATTTGCTGGTGTTCTTAGGTCCAGCATCATGATGGAATCACTGGCACAGAGTCTCCCAAGGTGGCAGACATGTATCTGCAGCACCTCATGCAGGCCATGATGGGAGTGGAAGAGCTCCTGGCTGCACTCTTCCTGCTGCCCCACAACCTCCAAATGCCCGGCAGCCGCTACCACAGAAAAAGTGTGTTCTCTGAAAGGAAGCATTTCCTTTAAACAGCAACTCTAAACAGTAATTTATGCACAAAATAACTAAAAATGAGCTTTTAGAATCAATTGTGATTCGAGCCGACTGCTAACACTAGCTTGAATATTAGTCAACAAGGGGTTTTCTTAAACGTTTGGGCCACTATTTAAATAAATGAGTCCTTAATCTCCTCATGCTAGGTGTTCATCAGGCTTTGGAGCAACATGTCATCGTTTACAACCCGTTAGCATGGAACACGACCACTATCATCAACGTCACTGTAACCTCCCCCACCGCAGCCGTCTTTGATGATGATGGAAAGCCTGTGCCTGCACAGGTAGTATTGTTTTTGTTGTTTTTAATGAAAACGGACGGCAACATATTTAAATGTTTCATTCGTATGAGTACTATGTGTTTCTTGTCAAGAAAATGAAGGAAGAGTGACACATAATTCAAGTTATCATGACTTAAAATGAACAGTTTTCTATCTGTTTTATAGTGACAAATAAGCATTTATAAATATTCCTTCTCCAGTAGATTACTTTGTTTTGCATTCCAGAAACATATCTCTATAATATACCCTGTTATGATTTATTATAATAATAATACGTTTCCTTTGTCTGCCGCAGATCCAGAGGTCTGCAGAGTCCAATGGGACATATGATCTTTTCATCACGGTGGAACTTGGAGGCCTTCAGCACAGGAAATACCTGATTAAGTTCTCGGAGAAGCAGTGCTCTGGGAGGTTCAAGTGCGGCTGGACTTACGAAGCCAAAGGGGTTCTGTTCGAGAGACGAAACGTCCGGGACTCGTTGAAAACCGGGAGGAGGCTTCTGCCTGTTCTGAATGAATGTTACAAGCTGATGTTTGACCAAGATACGAATCTACTGCACAGCATCACTTATCTGTAAGATGTTAAGCCTCTTAAACAATTGGGCTGTGACAAGTCGAGTTATGCTTTGTCACAGCCCATGCAGATAATCTTAAGTAGTACTACACATAGGGAGTAGTTAAAGTATTGTTTACATTCCTGTTGACTATGCACACGTTCTCCCACTCATTCCTCCTGTTTAGACACCATACTAATTTAAAGAACATGATACTGTAACGTATTAGTTGAAAGCCCTAGTTGTCTATCACCCACTTTTGCCCCCCCTTTTTGTGGCTTTTCTCCTACGTTTGCGTAACTCTCTAACCTTTTTACCTCTCTGTCATCCTTGGCAGTCCAGAAAAAAGGAGAGTGAGGATGACTCAGGATTTCTGGGAGTACCACGCAAATGGAGACGTAAAAGCAGGGCCCATCTCTGATAACTACATCTTCAGCGCTAATGCGTCGGCTGTCCGGGCCTACAAGGCTGTGGATATGGAGATTATCCCTGGGAAGATTGTGACAGAGGTCAGGCAGCACTTCTACAGGTGGGTAAAATGGCCTCTTGCATCTCTCATGGTTTTATTCGAATGTTTTTTTTCTCCACTAATTCTTAATAATTGTGACATTCGCTCTCATTGTTACACCTTCTAGAGAGGAAAGTGATAAGGATTATGCCTACTCCATCACCACACGTGTCCCAGAATGCTTTGGAAGCAAAGCGCGGTGTCACAGGCTGGAGCAGACCTATTCGCTGGGCCCCCTTCGTCTTAATACAGAGGTCGTCCTCAGAACCAGCTCCTCCTTGAAGAACAACAGGACCCTTTTCACAGATGACAATGGCTATCAGATGATGGAGAGGACATACAGGAAGTTCACTAATAACACTTTAGCCAGAGTAAGGCCTTCAGTAAACTGGGCTCTTGAGATTTAGAACGAAAACATTTGAATATGTAGAATAATCTATACTTACTATGCATTGGCAGAACTACTTCCCCATGGTTCGGACAGCCTACATTGAGGATGACCTCAGCAGACTGGTGCTGGTCAGCGACAGAGCTCACGGTGTGTCCAGCCAAGCCAACGGACAACTAGAGGTACAATCAAAAAAAAAAAAAAACCTATAAAGATAAAACCCCTCCCATTTAGAAACATGTTAACATCCCGCGTGTTTCCCTCCAGGTCATGCTCCATCGTCGTCTTTGGAACAACTTAGCCTGGAACCTCGGCTACAACCTGACGCTCAACGACAGCTCGGTCGTAAGGCCCACCCTGTGGATGACGCTGGGCTCCGTCAGTGCCACCTCCAAGCTCTACCAGAGGGAGGCAATAGAGCTGCAGCACAGACCTGTCGTCATGCCCATAGACCAACCTCGTGAGTGCTTATTTATTGGAGGAGGGACTGCATGACATCAAAAACTCTATTTTATTTACAATTACTTTTTTTTTTTTTGAAAAAGGGTTTGCAAAAAGTTGAAAAAGTGTCCTATTACAATTGTAATGGGTAAACCTATGCGACACGGGAATAATGTAATACCTTATACTTAAATCTCTGCAAAGAACTCTTCTCCCACAGGTGAGTACTTGGGGTCAACTACAGAGGATTTTTAGAAATGTATTTACTTGTTCAAGGACATCACTCTCTTTTATGAGTCAAATGTCAAGTTTGAAATGAAAAGAAAAAAGAAGTAATAGAAACCTTGGGATAGGCAATTGAAAGAGACATGCCCCTCTGGCTGGAAGTACGGTAGAATTCATGGCTGGGAAATGGGCCATTACAGAAAATGTAACACAACATTCAGTCACATCAATCACATACATAAAAAAGCAGTGAGACGAGACAGTAAAATACTCGCTCACCAGTGGAAAATACAGAATATACAAGCGTAACAGCATGAGTCCCGGGTTCTTTCACTGCTTTTCAGCACTAATGTTGCATTTTAAAGCCCTCAAACATTACATTTTGTTGGCTGACCGAACTCCCGAATCTCGTTCTTTTAGAGAGGCCTTGGCAGGAGAAGGAACCCAGGGGAGGTTCTCCTGTGCGATCAGTCGTTCTCCCGCCCAACCTCCACCTGCTCAGCCTCAGTATCCCTGGATGGAACTACAGCTCTGATCACGATGTTCACCTCAGCCACGTTCACTCAGGTCAGCTGTGAGACATATGAGTGCATAAAACTCCCATTTAAATTTTTCTTAGGCAAAGCCATCAGAAAACGAATGTAGGACGTGTTTTTTCTATTATGTTTCTAGGTAAGGATTTGCACTCGGAGCCAGACTACGATCGGGTCCTGTTGAGGATCATGCATCTCTTCGAGGAGGGGGAAGACCCAGAGCTTTCGAAGCCAGTCACCATAAACTTGAAGGTTCCTACATATTAATGTCACAGTGTTGTAAGAGGAAAGTCTTGGATTATGATTAGTCTTGGAGAATTTTAAAATATAATTTACAAAATGTTTTCTTTTTCAATGGATTTCCTACGTGAACAGGATGTTCTGCAGGGCATAGGGGAAGTAAAAGCGCTGGAGGAGCGTTCTCTCACAGGAACCTGGGATATCACCAGTCTGCAGAGATGGAAGTGGAAGACTGCAGATAACTTAGAAACAAGTGAGACTTGTTGTTGGCATTAATACGTACGTATTTTATGAAAATACTAGTTTCCTCATTCCTGTTTTTTTTTCTGCTTTCTTTATCTCAGACAAGAAAAGGTGTTCGAGTTGTGGGAATGAAGCTTTCACTGTGACCATCTCACCCAAAGAGATCAGGACCTTCTTCGTTCACTTCGCCTCCAAAAACTTCTAGTTCTGAACCGTCTTTTGTCTTCTGTGAAGACAGCCAATCCTAGGACCTAACATGACAATGTTTTTAAAGATCTGATCCTTTACTACACTGTTGATGAATGCTCTTTTTGCACATTATGTTAATCTGTTGATTCCCACATCCCACTTTGAGTTCCTGTTGACTCTCACTGAATAAAGTGATTATTTTTGTGAAATGAGGACACCGCGGTAAAGTTTGTCTGATGTTGGGGATTTGTATTAAATTATGGATGAGAAATGCTCATTCAAGAGAAAGCTGCTAAAAAAAGAAAATTCTTCTCCTACCATGGATGCATTTAACACATTCGCTTCAGTGTCTTTACAAGTATTTTAAAATCTGTTTTGTGAATGAGTTGTAGCCTTTAAAGGGGGTTTATCACAGCAGAGATTATGTATTAGCCAAGCTGCAGGCATGTTAAGGCTAAATGACTGATATCCACAAGTTACAACTTAGTCAAAGAGACATAAAAAGCATTTTAGAGAAATTATAAAAATGTTTGAGTATGTGCAAAGGTGTAAAAAAACTTATACTATATATAGTTTGTCAATATTTAGGGCCAGATTTCTTACATGTGTATGTAGGAATAGATGTTCCTTCACTTTCTTATTGTATTCATAAAATGTGTTTTCTGTCCTGAGAATAGCACTATTTCCCTCTTAAATATGGGCTGAAGTATTTTATATTAGTTAGATATACTGACTCTGAGGACAAAAATAAAGGTTTAGCATTCTCATGTTAATATTTTCACATTTAAGTTATGTGGTCAGTGGTATTTCTGCTGCACTGCCTCAACAGAGTGAAACTTCGCTGTACCATCTTCGCTGCTGTTTGGAGCTTTAAAAATGTAGTTGCCAACACGACCGCTAGGGGGCTTCCACACTCCCATTACCAAACCGACTTCATGCTGCACAAAAGACAAGACAACACCCGAGGAGAACAAAACCCAGAGCCTCGGTCTGTCTGTCTGCAGGAAAAATGAAAGAGTGAAACAGCATAATGTAAGCTTTTAGTGTTCGTATGTCATGACCGGCCGTGAAGGAGACGACGCTGTCTGCGATTTGGTCCCAAGATGAGCGGCGTGAGTTGTTTCCTTCATAATGTGCTCCTTTATATCAGCTGCTGGATTCTGACTCACAATCGGAATCGGGAGATTATGTGAGAGGGGAGTGGGCCTGATTTATTTTTTTGCATGCACTGTCACGATTTAACACATTTCCCCCCCATCTTGCATCCTTTAATGTACACGAAGTCTTTATTGTCGTTAGAGATGCAGGATGCTGCGAGGAGGCGTTGCACGTGTTGCTAGGTTACTAGACCTGGGGAGGGGGGCTGATGGGGCTCCCGGGGATGTTTAATCTGATTGACTTGAGGAATCTGTTTTTAAGTGCTTATTTGTGTCTTGCCTTTAACGTGAATATTGTCTGCCTTTTGACCAGAAGAGAGAGAGGGAGCAGAGGAGGAAGCTGCAGCACTTTCTAAGTGACCTGGCTCTACTTGGATCACTACAGGTTAGTGAATGCACATGCAAAAAAATAAATAAAAATAAAACACATGGTCAAACTATTTCTTGCAGACAATCTTGATTCTGTTGCAGGGATTTAAATACTTCCAGCCTTGGCTAAGAGGGAAAGAGGAGTTGCTGCTGACGGTCGTTAATGAGGATCTGGTTAGTTTCTGTAGAGATCTCAGGACACACACAGCTTACATTTAAGAAGCCAGATAAATTAAATAAAAGCTACTTATTTACCAAAACAAGTGTGATACAAAATAGAGATAATCCTTACATTTATGGACTATAATTCTTGGCACAAACTGCTGCTCGGTTTGACTGACTGACATATTTCCTCATGTATTTATCTTCTCATCATCATCGTCAGTGACTGCAGGAATTACCCTGTTCCCTTGAACCTGTTTGCCTGTTCTGCAGGGGTGGCGTTCCCCAGGTTTTGTGGTCTCCAGGGCCTCCACCTTCTCCTCCACCAGCAGCTGTAACAGCAGCAATGTGTCCCCCAGCAGCAGCTCACCCAGCGTGGACAGCCGGAGTAGCTCACCCCTACCCGGGGAGCCTCCGGGCCCAAAAGACCCCGAGTTGCACACGCACACCAAGACGCAGCCACAGCCCACCAGGTGATTGATGCTACTTACTTTGTGTCCCTGCAAATGGTAACGTGTGTTTGGTTTCAGGGGGAAGCTCTTGATGTTTGTGACATTTTTATAATTTGCTCTTAATTGTGATGTTTTAAAATCTTTAATTGGGCGGCAGGCTTATGTAGTAGCATCTTGATGGACATCCACTGGTGCCTCACTTCCTGTTAGTACTGTACAGAATGGTTCCCCTTTGAAGGAAGATGTCGCTGTTGTGCTGAAAATTAATCAGGTGATCGGCAGAAAATGTACTGTAATGATCGATTTATTCCTCAAATATTTGGGTCAGGCAAAAAACACTTGGTTCTTTACATTTATTTCACTGGTACATTCTCCTTGTTAAAGCAGCAATAAGGAACTTGTATTGTTTTTGTTCATTCTGGCGGCCCCTGTGGACAAAAGCGGTAGTGTTTCCACCGCCTTGTTTCATTGATTTCAAGGAGAATCTGACCTGGTTGCAGGCATTAAGAATAATTATATAGAAACAGCCAATCTTCTCGCTGATGGTCTTATGTAGGTCATACAGAGGCATTGGTATTAAACTGAGACTGTTTTGTAGTAGGTTTAAGTAAATACTACAAATTAGGCTTTAACAAAGCATTTTACTGCTCCCAGGTGCAGATGTATTTGTTTAACCCTCCAACAGCCTTTTTCAAACTCATATCATAAACTCATACAGGAGGACAGACTTGATCTTGAAATGCAGACTTTAGCCACAAACACATTGACCTCTTTCTGTGTCCCCAGGGACTCCAGCAGCAAGGAGCACCTTCTCCCAGCCTCCCCCAGCGAAAGAGAGATAGCAGTGCCTGTAAGTGCTTCGGCCAGACTCTTTGAATGTCAAGCATTAACTCGCAGTCCTCAACCTCCGCTTTGTCCCTCGACAGGAGGTGAACTGCACTCTGTTTTTACTGGCCGGCTACGTCAAGTACGGACGGCCCTACGCCTGGATACGCTCCAATCACGAGCGCCTGGTTAACATCGGAGGCACCGATTCGATGGTCAAAGACACGCCCATGAAACTCAAGTCCATCGCCGACTGGCAGACACGAGGTATGGAAACAATGTGAGGAATCCAAACAGGAGAAAGTTATTGTTTCACTGCACAGATTCAATAATTACACAATTTTCCATGAACTAAACGAGATGCAGATGCTCGAGTCTGACATTCTTAGAGACTACTGTATGGTGTGGATTAGGTTTGTGGAAAAAGCTTGAGGTTATAACTGCTAGACTTCTACACACATTCATCACAGTTTCGTGTTTTTCTTTCAGGTATTCGTATATGGGACATCGTGAGTGAGCTGGTGTGCCTGTGCACTGTTCCCTCTCCCTCCAACCCTTTCGCCCTGGACATGCGTTACATCAAAAGCCTTCCACTCACTGACTGCTTCCTCGTCACAGGCGCCCTCCTCAACTTCCTGGAGATGTATGTTGTCTACGGGAACCGGGACGAGTTGCACTATGACAAAGGTAGGAAATACTGCTACTTGTTGAGATTTTGTCCCACGGAACGTTGCAACTACAGTGCATCATTTGATTTGAAGTTATTATTGAGGGCCAGCAGGTGGTGCCGTTTAGCTACATTGCAAAAGGGATCAGACACACAGCCTTTCTCCCACTCCACTCTTAGCTCACTTTGAATTTTAAGGTGTCAGTGAATTGTTTTTGTCGATCTCCTCTCCTTTCAGTGGTAGATGAGGTGAAGCCTCTGAGGCGTCTTCATGTCAAGTCCCTGCTGGAGCTACAGCGACACAGAGAGAGCTCCGGGGTGGCCAGCAGTCAGCAGGATTCATCTGGAGAGGAGTGACTGATTGTATGTGATCCACGTCAAGTTGAGATGTTCTCAGTGCACTTTTACTGACTTCTTGTATAAAAAAAAAAAAGGGAGAGCAAATTGGTTCAAATGTGTAAAATCTCATCAGAAAGATTGTATTTAGGTAATTTGTGTTTTCTGATTTTTGTGTTGCGTTTTACCAGATTTTGTAATATTACATCTGCAAAGACGTGTGTTTATGTAACCTGTACGAACAACGGTCTTGTTATGGCACTGTACGAACCTATTTCTTTCAAGGCTGTCCTCTTGGAGCTGTATCTGCATCTTTGCGACAGTTAGAAGGTAGTCACATGTATGAGAGTTCTTGAAAATGTGAAAAAGTAACCCTGGGAAATTAGTCACATGACTGAGATTAAACATCCCAGGACCTCTCTGAATGTCTTGCCCTGCCACCCCCTAAACCATTCAATCCCGCTCTCCCACACACACACACAAACACACACTTAATGACAGGAATTCTGTTTTTTCAGGCCAAATATAACATTTTAAAAGTTGAGCGTTCAAGCCTGGAAACAGGATCATTCATCAGGGTCAAAGCAGTAGGAGTTAAAGCTGGTGAAATATTTGTCTTCTTGAAAGTTCCAGCAGTGTGAGAACAACATGTATAGACAAACAAAAAAATGTTGTATAAAAAGTTTTAATATTTCATAAAATACATATTTAATTAAATATGTACAATGACATAACAGTACATTGATTAAATACGCATTAAAGCGGGCACTTTGACCCCTGAGATTGGGGCTGCGCCGTTTGTAGTTTTAAAAAAAATAGACCACGAGTACAAAATGTTAAAATTAAAAACCCAGTGGCACATCAGTCAAAAAACACCTTTCCTGTTAAAAAACAAAAAGGCATCATTTCTAGCTTAGTTTTGGTCAGGAAACACAAAATGACAATTGAATGGTAGCCTTAAGGTGTACCACTAATCCTCAAGTCTCTCATTTGTAAACCTTAAGACAGAAATCACCATCATGAGAGCGTGTTATGCAATACTGCACATATCAAAGCCTGTAACCGCCACTGTAACTGAAGTAGTTAGGCACCTTTTATGGCTTTGGTAATGTGAACAAGTCACGGGCTCAGAGTTAAAACGCACACTGTAGCATCGACTGACGAGGCAGCTCAATATGCAAAGTCATGGACGGGCATGGAGAAGAATTCGGGGGGGGGAGGGGGGGGCTTTTAAGAAGATTCTCTGTCTCGAATTTCGTCCAATTGGAATGCAGGTGCACGGCCGCGCATTCCACACGGAGGCTCGACATGGGAACACAGCGTTCCCAGTGATCGGACACAAACAAACCCTGCAAGTCATGGCCGAGGATTTTTCCACGTAAATGCAAATAAGTGCTTGCAGTGGACAGTTAGGATCTGTTTTTTTGTTTTCTTTTTTCCAGGATGAAAACAATGGGGCCTGTCATACGATTCATGAAAGCTACTGACCTCTTGAAATGTAAGAAACGATACAACGTAAATTGTGATGTGTTCAGGTGTCGAATTTTACAGCTGGAAATTTAGAAAAAAAAGTGCTCAGAACATACGACCTGCATCCACGTGCATCGCGGACTAGAATGGATTTTGCTTAGCGTTTGTATGACAACCTGTTGTTGACATCCATGTAATCTCTCAAAACTCTCGCAACGTAGGTTAAAAGCGTTGTTTCCGCCATTCCACTTTAAAAAAAGAGGAGATATATGCTTGCTAGTGCCACAGGGTTAACATAAAATACATTAAAATCATCATGACCTGTCGCATACGTCAGTCAAATAAAAGTCAGTCTTCAAGGAAATGAAAGAGAAAGCTCTCGTTGTCTTTTTCCAGTTTTTCGTTATCTGTTGATCAGTTTGTCCAACGGCTGGTATCATTGTCTGTTTGTCTCTTTTCCAGCAGTCCAAACTCTTTGGAGGTTCGAGTATCAAGTAGACAACTTAAAAACAAACACAACGGCAATGGAAATGAACCAGTCCGCTCTGCAAACGGCTCGCGGCCATTCACAAGTCCTCGCGTAGCGGACGACAGGCGAACAAAGGCGGCCGTTAACAGCATTTTGTGTCACATTGGACGCCACTCTTGCGGAAGTCGACGGACAAACCTTTGCGTCGAAAACCTTCAAGTCCATGCGCTCGCTCACTGATTACAGCATCCACTCACAAGCAGAGTCCAAATATGGACTTTCCCCACTTCCCGGATTATCCCCTTTGTCCCGTCCTTCTGTCTTGTAATCACTCCCCCCCCTCCTCCTCGTCCTCCTCCTCCCGTCAGTGCTGACATCCTTGAGGTTGTCATCAGGTTAATGTGGTCCCGTGTTTGAAGGGTTGAATGCTGGGGTTCAGTTCCAGCTGTCAGAGGCAGACCCTCTTCTGCTGATGGCTCTGAGGGGGCTGCGAGACACCGAGCCCCTCTTCTTCCAGCGAACTGAAAAGAACAAGAGAACAAAAAGTATAGGTCAGTGATGTAAGCTGGGCAGCTGCAAATGAAGAGTGAACACTGGTGTTTAAATGTTAAAACATCCAACCAGCCCCGATAGTTTGTCAGCCTTGACTCTAAAGTGTCCTATTGCGGCTACTCATTTACAACTTCCTACATCTGCACTTGGTTTTCATTACTTTCACTGAATGTGCTCGCTTCAGTGCTACTTTAAGAAATCTTATCTTTCTGAACAGCTTGGAAAGCAAGAGAGCAGAGTGTGATAAGGACAATGAACCAGGGAAACGGCTCATTAATCGTTAACCATTAAAGGCCACTTCATTTGATCGAAATTGAGCCCAGACAACAATCTGTTAAACATGTAAACTTACTGACAGAGAAACGTGTACTTTTTGGGGGAACAAAACAAAATGTGAAATTTGCAAGAACTAGAAAAACCGTTGAAACTGCAGCGACTGCAAAAAAAAAAAAAGCTAAAGCTAATTTAGTGTTTCCTGTACGTGACAAATTCTCCAATGTCTCAGCAACTGGGTTAATTGTAGCGCACAAACAGGGCAGTAAATCTAACCATAATGGAGGAAAAAAGGAACACCAGATTAACTGGTGCGGCCAAACGGTAACTAGCCTAGCTTAGCACAGCACCCTCATAAAGCGGCATCATCGCCTCACCTTTTCCCAGACTGGCAGGCAGCGTGGAGCTCTTCGCGTTGCCGGGAGAGTTGGACGACTCCTCGACTCGTTTCCCCTTCATCTCTCCTTGCTGCAACGTGGCCGAGCCGTCCTGCTGCCAGTCGCTCAGCGCCTGCTGGAAAGAATGTGCCAGACAGGCGGTCATGTCCCGTGCCCGCTCTGCCCGGCTGCACCAGAACACCCGACACTGCAGCTGCTGCCCGTGATGTTTGCAGATGTACAGGAAGACGTTGGGCCGGTTGGCGTCGGCGGCGCAGTACGCAATGTCCTGCAGGTACGTCTTAGTGAGCTGCCGACCCGTACTCAGCTCCTTGACCTCCACGTATCTCGGGCGCACCACCAGGGCGTGATCTTTGCTCGGCTTCTTCCCGTTGGCGACGCCTTCTAGCAAGTGGCTGATGGCGTCCTGGGCCTGCTCTCGATCCAGGGAGAAGATTTTCTCCGTGCCCAGGTAGTGGACCTTGAAGAGGGGGTCCCCGTGGGACAAAGACTCGGTGCGGTCGCGGCGAAAGCGGCGACGCAGCGCGGCGGGAGAGTTCTTGAGGGTCTGCATGAGGTGAAAAGTGCTGAGGGACATGGTGCGTTTGGGGCTGGGTTTGGAGGATATTTGAGCTGAGGTGTATCTGCCGGTGGTCAACTGGTCCTCCTCAGAGCCTCTCCCACTCTTCCACCTTTTTTCTAAGAATGGAGCGTAGTTGCATCCACTGCTTTTATCTGAAATTGAGCAGAGGGAGACAGTGTCGTTAGCGGATCCATTTTAAAAGAAGCATTGAGCAAAACAGATGCTTCAGCTTTGTTCAGAGTTACATAAGAGAAAGGGAAAGGGTACATGTGTGTAAATGATTGTTCTGACACTGGTGTAGGTATGAAGGAACTCTTGATTTTTTTTTTTTTTTTGTGCAATCTCATGCTGCCATCTCACTGATGCGGGGAAAAAAAAAATGCAGTCAGCACAACTTGTACGGCAGTGTGAAACAACATAAGGCCGCCAAACAGGATCAGTTACAAATGTGACGCATTCAGCGAGGAACATCATTCACCACAGACAGCCATCAAATATTTACAGTCAGGTTTGACTTGGGCTTTGTCCTCACAGCAGTGAACCCTTAGGAGACATACAAAACAGCCTTATGAACTGGAAACATGCCAAAATAAATGGAAGGTTAGTGTAACACACACAGGTGACACAAAAGGTAATCACAGGTACGTAGGCTGCTTTAAATTCAACCCAATGTCAGTTATTACTCATATCGCCATACTTCTTAGTTACTGGAAGACTTCTGTGACCTTGCTTAAAATCTTATGTAACCTCCATATCTGGCCTCCCATTGTCTCCCATCCTACAAACCCTAAGAACGGCCTGTTCTCCATTGTGTTACACTTTATTTTTTCCCCCTTTCTCTTTTCTTGGCCATTCTTTCAACATCCTAGCTCGGTCCTCTGAAGTGAGCTGCAGAGAGACTGCCACCGACTGTTCCAAGGTAGTGGCCATTGTTAGTCCACCCCACTGTGCAGGAAACAGCTTTGCATTCCCCTCCTAAATATTTCTCCAACAAACAATGGCATGCTTTTGAGAGTGTGTCACATCACAGAAGGGATTCAAGTTTAACCTAGAGTCTGGGCCGACCCAGGACACGCACACATGCGGTTACACGTGTGGGTTACAAACATGTACAAGTACTGGCAGGCACACAACTTTCACTTAAAACCACACACAGAGATAGCTCACTGTTTTGCATTTGGGATTCTACTGTACAGTATTAGGTTTCCCTGTCCCTGAGCAGCCTACGCACAATAATCAAACAAGTAATCCAAATTTGCATCCAGGTAAGACCTCATGTGCAAGTAACTTCTTGTGATCTGAATAAACAAGTAGAGCTGTCACATCCAAATCCTGTTGTTGTAAGTGGACATAACATTTCTGCTTAGAAATTTACCTGAAACACTTATTCTGCCAATCATATGGAGACACTTAATCCTAGTTATGTAGCAAAAATATAAATACAGTACAGAAGAATGTCAACTAAGAGGTTTCATTAAGGGTCAGTTTTTTAATTCAGGATGTACCCCATAAGGCATAACTTATTTAGATTAAACTTGCATGTAAGGAGTTTGGTTTGCTTGACCTAAAAAGCAGTTGATGGAGCAATGGCATATCACTAAAACACTTTTTATTCAAGTCATGTTCTGCTTCTTTTTGTGCCGAATAAACCAACATAGCCGGGTTATTACTTCAACAACTCGAAAATATGCGAAGCGACATGTACTCTGAGGAATAGCCAAGTTTACATTAAATGGTAAGATTTTAGAGTGTGGTTCGGCGAGCCCCGAAGCGTCCTCCACGATTTGGGGTGAAAACAACCGCCACACTGTCAAAACCCAGTTATATTTCTAAGTGCATGTTAGCAGTGGGAATTAAAGTATGATGTCTTTTATTAACTGTCATTATATGTAAGGTTTTCTATTTAAATCTCTACTTTTCCTAAATTAAGTCTTACCTGGCCACAGTTTCATGCAAACGATGTCCTCGTGCGCCTCAGGTGAACCGTCCCGTGATCCTTTTTGAAACACACTGTCCAGGTGGAGGTCTGCTATCCCGGTTTGACTGTCAGTGTATCTTTTAAAGTAACCGACCGACGTCCACCAACTATTTCAGGTTTTTTTCCTTCTCTCCCCCGTGAGCTCAGAGTTCCTCGTGCGCACATGAACGACCGAAGAGCGCCAGAGACAGTTAAAGTTATGCGCGGACTGAATCACGCTCTCTTTGCTCTCTTTGCTCTCTTTGCTCTCTGTGTGTGTGTGTGTGAGGTGAGTGAATCAGAGAGCCCGTGGGAAGGACCGTTTTTAAAACCGCGTAGGCGCGGGCTCGTCACACGTGGACGAGCGGTTGCGTCTGAGCGGTGAGGTGGCTGGTTGGTGCGCGCGGAGGGAGGACCTGTGGGGGTGGTGAGGTGAGGTGAGGTGGGGGATAATACTTTATAATACAGGAGGGATTTACAGTACATGGCAGGATGGATAATAACTGACCAATATTAAGTCTTTACTGGTATTGGTGTCTTTTATGGCTTTATATGCCTTCCATATTTACATTTAAGCCCCTATCTAGTTTGTCCCAGTTCATGCCTCTTCTAGGTAGCTTCAGGGTTGTTAAAGTCATCTCATGTCACACTGTGTGGCAGTATCATAGACTGATGTTTGCACTGAGTGAAATATTCAAACTCAAAAACTGTTTTTTATGGTTCCTTAAAATGGAGATATTCTAGATGTTTTTATACAAATTTAACAAATAATTCGACCTGACATGTTTAGATTGTTTTTTTGGAAACTCCACTAGAATTTAAAATGAAGTTACGTGTGAGTTTGAACTATGTTTGACAGCACATTGTAAGTCTACCAGCAGACCACTGCTTTTAAGGGTGTTCAAATTTGCATCTTAAAAAAAAAAAAAGGATAAATTTGTATAAAATATCGACTTTCATAAACCAAAAGTGGCAAAACAGCAATGTATCATGTAAATATAAACACTGGTAAATTCTCATCTAACAAACATTCATAGTAACTGAGTAAGCCAATGAATATACTGTTTTTATCAAGAGTAAAGGTGCAACAAACAACTACTTTTATTATTAAATAACTTTAACTATTTAACTATTAAAAAATGGCTGTTAAGTTGACATTTTAAAAATGTCTTGTTTTGTTGATTTGTTGGCTTTTTTTAATTTCTAAATAACTTAAAACATTATCAAAATTGTTCATTTTTTCCCTTATATTTTTACATTTACACAATGCATTTACGCAATTTATAATGCTTTATATTAGTCCTCATCATTTCTCAAGCCCATGACACTACGCTCTAATGACTGAAAGTTTCACATTACTTTCTATAAGTACAGTACCAGGCTGAGGAAACATCTGAAACCCACTACCTTTCATTACCATCACATTGCGTCACAGCCCGTCTCTAATGGGGATCACTGGCTTCACTGGTTCAGATCTGCTTCAAGTGTTTATTCTGGGGGCATTTTGAACAGTGGCAGTAGGAAAACCTTAAACGGTTCCATGTGTGTATGCGTCTGTACATCTGTATGTGTGTGTGTGTGTGTGTGTGGCTGGGTGTGCCTGACGTGGCGAAACAGTAGGGCCCCTGTTTCTTCTGGGTTTGGCCCAATAACAGTTAAGTTCTGAACGTCACACTCGCCTCACGGCCTAGCGGGGCACACTGGAACTATTCTTGGGGCACCGGTGACATAATGGACCATCTCAGACAGGCACCCACCCTCCCTGCGTATCTCACAACGGGCAGCAAAAACAGAGTCAGCATCCAAAGCGTCGCATAGACAGGAGTGCAGCTGCAGTTCTTGTTGAGGCATGTTTCACTGGATGTATAGTCTATTTGGTGAGCCCAGTGAGAGAACCATTCAGTGAGAGCAAACAGAGAATGAGGTCTTTAATTGCCCACTTGATTGGTAAACCTTGGAGCGGTCAAACCACTGTTCAGAGAGGGGAAGAGTGTTGGACACTTTACATGTTTAATCCCCCTTAAAACATTCAGTTTATTAAAATCAATCAGCAGTGTAGGCTACCTTGTCTTTCTAGCTGTATCTGATTGGTAAAAAATACTAAAATATGAAGGAAAAGTCAGTCACCAACTATTGGATGGATTTCCAGGCATTTTTGTACAGACCTTCATGGTCCCCAGAGGATGCATCCTAATAACTTTGGTGACTTTTCCTCTAGCATTACCATGATGTTGAAATATCTTGACAGCCAGCAGATGAACTACGACTTTTAAGACTTATTCAGTGAAATATCTAAAAATCTACTTAATGAGTTTGCAGTTATTTGTGGTTTTCCAGAAAATGTATTCTGATGACTTTGGTGATCCTATGAGTTTTCTTATTGTACCACCATGTGGTTGATATTTTAGTATTTTGATAATTATGCCATTTAACTAGGAACAGATAACAATGTTCCCATCAAGATTAAATGTAACCGAATAACTTAATCAAGCTGCAGACTTCCCTATCAGCCTCAGTTGTACTTAAGTAGCAAATGTTAGCATGCTAACATACTAAACTAAGATTATATATACCATTAACATGTAGCATTCTCATTTTGAGCAGCCTACTGATGTTAACATTTAGCTCAATGCACCGCTGTACCAAACTACAGCTTCACAGAACTGCTAGCATAGATGTAGACTTTATTACTCTGGTTCATATTCCTGGTACAAAAGAATTTTCAGCTGTGTAAATCATTATATCAGTTCCTCAGATATGGACCAAAGCCTTTTCTTAAACTCCACAATTAGCCACAAGACATCATCATCAGTGGGTGTGGCACTATTACAGACACACCCAGTTGTTCAAAAACTAATTGGCAAGCGTTCATTCAAATGTCTTGACTGTTACTTGTGAGTGAAACCAACAAGTTTACAACCCTCTCAGGAGGTTATTACAAGTCAGTGTGAAGGAAAATGGCCAGTTCAAGAAAGCACATTGCAACACTTCTTGACAAAACAGCTCCTTGAATGGTCAAAGTCAACACCGTTCACAGTCGAGCTGGGAGGAAATTTGGGGATTTCGAGGAGCAAAATCACAGAGCGTACCTGAAACTTTTGTGGATGAGATTAGCTTTTCATTCCCACTACAGAAATGGAATAACTGATCCATACCTGGAGGTTATTACATTTCTTGTAAACCAGAGAATCCTAACACCACTTTTCCAAGAAGTTTCTTAGAACAGTTGCCATCTTATTCACAGGGTTGTAACCTCTGTTCTGGTTTTCATATGGTGTCTTGGGAAGCTGAACAGGGATGTAACCCTGCTATTGTTGGAAGTGGTACAAATACAGAAAATGTTGGAAGTAAAATTAGACTACATGAGCTGCCATCCATTCATGGTAGAAATGTTTTATGCTCAGTTCCCTTTTTCTAAACTGCTCTAAATCAAATGTCACTGGCATTTACTGATGTATATCTACGCTAGCTAGGCTTGTCAACAATGAAGGCAGCATTCCAGTAACTGGAATCCAGTTTGCTATCTCCGAGTCTTATTGAAGTAAAAAGCACATTACAATCTGTCCCTGGCACCGTTGCAGCCAGTGCTATAAAAGGAATGTCATGAACTTTTACCTTCATATGATAATTATCAGAACTGTCAATCACCTCTAGCTATGTTGCAAGTGTGTGTGGCAGCGACGGTCTGTTGGCTGGTCGGTCCACCAGCTGGTCCAGATTGAAATATCTCATCAACAATTGGATGGATTGGGACAAAAGTTTGCGCAACTATGCTTGGTCCCCAGGGGATGAAGCCCCCGGACTTTGGTGATCCCCTAACCTTCTCTCTAGCGCCACAATGAGCTTTAGTGAAACTTAACTTGAAAAATGACTATTTAATTTAGCTCTAAATTTGGTAAAGACAATCGCGTTCCCAATAAGACAAATTTTAGTTACTTTCATTATCCTTTAACTTCTTATTTAGCGCTGTCATCAGGTCAAAAATTTGACATGTCCATCTAATTTTATTCATTTTTTATTGTTTTATTAACAACATACCTAAGCAAACATTCCCATTATAGGCTAATTTGTGTTTAGTGCTAAATAAACAAAGATGAACATTAAACAATTATAAATACTATTAACATCATACTTGCTAAACATTAAAATATTAGCATTGTCATTATGAATGTGTCCGCATGCTGACATCAGCATTTAGACATCAGCATTTAGCTACAAGTGCCTAAGTATAGCCTCACAGAGCTGCGAGCATAGACTCTTAGTCTTGTTATAATACTTCTGAACAAATTAATATTAGAATCATTATATATGTTTCCTCATATAAAATGCAAATAGAAAATAAATCATTGTTTAATAGTTTTAGAGCCAGCCTCATTAAGTTATTAGTTGTGAGTAGTTTTTATGGTTAGATGGTTCTTGGGTTGTTTTAAGGTGAATTTTTTATAATTATACATATATATATATATATATATAAAAATTCATAATTGCATTTCTGTTAAATTCTGATCTTGTGGCATATCTTGTCTTAGTTGTTTGTCTGTAACTCATTGTTATTGCTGCTTATCTTGGCCAGGACACTCATGTTATTCTTTGTTGTGTCTACGAAAAACATTAGATTCATTTAAAGAGAGTTTAACATCATGTCTGATTCTCACTGCAGTGTCTATTTGCCAACCTCATCTTTTCTTGTTACACCAGTTTCTTGTTATTATTTACTTGAATACCACACACACCCATTGCAGTATGTTCCAGCAGAGCGCTTGTACCTGTAAAGGGAAGTTGGATGAGGCGTGGAGATATGAAAACAGGAATGGTAACTGTAGATTTATGGGTCGCTCTTCACTGTTCTCAAATATTTACTACAATAGAAGAACATGATAGGAGGGGTTCTTTTTTTGTTTTTTTTTGTCCAAGTGTCAAGTGACAAGTGTGTTAAGGTGCCATACATACACTTGAGGTTTTGTAATCGCAGCAGAGGTGTGTTGCATAAATCCATCTGTCAATCTTGAACTGTTACATGTTTGGATCGGGAGGATAACTTTGTTTTGTCATGGCAAAGTAAAAAACAATGACAATGCTGATGTTCCAGTAAGTTAATGGGTTACCAAACTCACACACTTGTACATAATTGTTGGGATCATACATTTATATTCATTATCATTCTCAGAAATATTACATACCTGATGTTATGAAGAATTCAGACAATGAGTGATGATTATATTCTTGTGAAACAGTAACAGAGTGAGTGCGAACAATTAATGCCACCGTTTATTTGCATA